AGGCTATGCTACTATTTAAATTAAAATGTTGGTCCTGTAAGCAGGAAGCTTATGGATGTTGGATGTTGATTTTTGGTCTCTATTTCAAAGAGGATGAGGAGGAGAACGAGGAAGTTCTCCTCAAGCTGCTCCTAAAACTGCTGACTGAGAACATTTGTATACAGTAAACTTTGTATACAGAACAATATAGGCTACCTATTAAATTACATTTTAATTGAGTTTTTTTTTTTTTTGGACAACCAGATTTTGTCAGCAGGATGTCCGCTGGACAACCTGAAAAAAATCCTTATGTCTACCCCTGCTAAGTATGTTTGCCTTCTCTTGTTGAGAGTTCAGGCCAGCAGAACCTCATTTACAGAAGCTGCCATGTTGTATTTTTTAAATGAGTCCTGCCTTCTCCTATATTCTAGCCTGGTTGTCATCCACTGTGATGAGTTGTACCTCTAATTAGACCTAATTGGTCAGTCAGATATAAGGAAAGATGAGTTCTTCACAACTCTTTGATGAAAACAAACCCAATTTGAAGAACATTATTAACGTTTATTTAATCAGGCAAATCTCATTGAGATCACAGATCTCTTTTGCAAAGAAGGCCCAGGTCTGAAGGCAACCTATTGCACGTTTTTGGTCTGCGGGAGGAAACCAGAGAACCCAGAGAAAACCAGCATGAGAAGAACATGCAAACAACACACACAAAGACCCCTGATCTAAACTGGGAATCAAACCCACTGACTCATTGTGGTCCATATGGGGTTTAAAAAGTGAGTAAAACAAAACTGCTTTTAGTTTGACTAAAACATCTAATCTGCAGATGAACATAATGTCCATGGAGAGTTTGCAGAATTTTGTTTGGGCCAATCAGAGAACAGAAGGTGGGGTTTTGAACGACGTTGATTTTCTGCGCAGTGTCTGCTTGTGAGTTTAGCATATGTCAGTGGAGGAAGTGAATGAAGCCAGTCTGTGTTGATAAGACTTTCAAATTAAAATAAATTTGTCTGACAAAGCAGCAGCTCTCATTTACAGTCGTCTCATTCAGCTCGGTACTTTTCTCCTCTCAGTAGGTTTACAGCACACACAATTTCCGATTAGCTTCTTAGCTTAGCCTCCTTCACAGTAGAGCTGGCACTTGCGGCCAACCGATCCAATCATTTTAAACTTCAGCAGAGGCCACGTCTCCAGCAAGAATTGCTTCTCTAAAGCCGAGAGTCCAGACCCTCGCACGAAGCAAAGCGAAAGACAAGGGTTTGGTTTTAACCAGGCTACATTAAACCCCGTTGCACACATTATTCTTCAGACCAGCTGTTACAAAGAGGACTTGACTATAACCTGTCAGACATTATCATGCTGATTTACATAGATTTACCTAAACACAAACTGACATAATTAACTGTTCCTGCAGCTATTCCTGCGGCTATCACCACACCTAAGAACATAAAACAAATGGAGTTAGGCAAGTTGCTCAGGTTCCTCCAGCTTTCTGAGAAAGAAAGGAATGACCTCATTGTGTTCCTGTTGAACTTTTTCTTCCTTACTCAGAACAAGGATTATTGTTATTATTATTTATCTAATATGTACATAAACACTAAGTGTATGCTACATCAGAACATTTTCTGCAATTCTAAAAATTTAAGTAAATTATTTGCTAAAGAAAAACTTGTGACTTTCAGTTGTTGTATACCACAGTAGAACAGGGTTATTCAACTATAGGGCCACAGTCCCTCAAAGCCAACAGCTCGATGGCTGGATGTAGGGGTGGGGGGTGTAATGCAGGGGGCATTGCTCATTTATTTAGTGTAGCCGAACCACTGCAGTAATGTAACAATTATTATCCTTTATTTTTTTAATTTGTTTTATTTTTTGCACTGAATCATAATATTTAATTTACAATCGATTTT